AAGGTTTATTGCCATGAGCCGGTGACCGATTTGTTAAATTTGAAAATTAAACAACCAGGTAACGTATTTATTCGTTATACGTACAATGTAAACAATAAWGTTATAAGCACGCGGATCAACACTCTGAACGTCCGTACACTTCGAATGCTAAGACGCAACTAACAGAAAAAGTAACGCGATTTCTATTAACCATTTTTGAAACGATGCGACATAATGTAATTTATCAAATAGTATAATTTTGTGTTTAAATAAAATGTTTAATATCAAATTATTTCATTTAATATACAAAAATAATAGAATCATTTTATTATTACTAACAAAAAATATATGAAATTCATAAGCCTATGCATTAATTAAAATACGAATTAATAAATAAATTTATGTTCCCAATTATGACAGTGAATTAATTCAAACCATTGAAACAATTTATTTTATGATCTACTTTATACTATAAATAATTGTATTAATAAACAAATCATAATATTAATTTTTGTTCTAATTTTTTTTATTCAATTTATCGTCATAATTAGGACAATTAACTTACTGAAGATTAAAAGATTCTCTGTCCTGGATATAATTTAGATATAATCATTTCCTTTGATCTTCAAAGAGAGATAAGTAGCTGTTAGGAAATTACTACAGAGAGATGATACAGCTTCTATCTCGGCCTTGCCCTTTTGCATTATTATCATCTGTCTTAACAACGTCTCCGTCATGTAACTACGACTCTTGATAGATGCCAATTTTGATAAATCTCTTTCGGCCAACGGACTAGTCTTCACCCCTAATACACCTAATTCTGAAGGGTGAACACCAAGCCAACGAATTGCGGGACAAGCTAGACTATCATTTCTCTTTGATAAATTTGAAGACCCAAATCTAAAAAAAGAAAAATTGAAAAAGAAACAAAAAATACGACGAAAGTAAATAACAATTGTTAATAATATAAAATTTACCGATAAACACACATGATATCCACACCAAAAGGATCAGCATCTACTAAGGTGTAAATTGGAAGATTTACTTTTTCAGAAAGTAATTTAATTAACATCCTTGTAGCAATATCAGGATAACCTTTTCCTGTGATTAATATACAATTCAATAATTTCGTTATATTTTCTTCTAATAATTTTTGAAATATTGTATCCTTTTCAACCACCAAAACAAATTTTCCATTAGTACGAATGGATATAACGTTTGAAATTATTTGAGGAATAAGTACACCTCCTGGAACTCTGCAATCGATAATCTGATTGTCTGTAAAGTATAAAGTTAAATCTCCAGCTGCTAAACCTTTAGACGAGCCAATGAGTCCTACGAAATATGCGTTAATCGTTTCTTTATAATTATTAATTAATTTATGATTTTAATAATAATGTAAATATATAGAATTATTAAAGAAAAACATACTCAAATCCCATGGAGCACAGTTCAAAATTTCAGCGACATTATTAACAGCTAGATCTACATATTGTTGCTTAGGAGCCAAAATATTTGCTATGTCATTTTTTAAATCATAATAAAAAGATCTCCTGGTAATTGTGGTATTCCTAATTAATAATTTATGAGAAATGGCCATAACTTTCATCATTAAAGCGAATTTATTTTTGCCCCTTTTGCGATAAAAATCCATACTATCTGATGTATTTATGGATTCAACTTCATCAGATTCATTTACATCATTTTCATATTCCAATAACTCCATTGTGTCGCAATTACTTTGAACAAAATCATTTGGAAATTGTCCGGAACAAATTTTTTGTATTATCATCAGAGTCGTATATTCAATTCGACGTATAAGTAATTTCCTAATTTAAAAACAATAATATTATTGTATGTATATGTTTTACAAATAAAATTTCATTTTTTTTTCTTTTCAGTATTTTTTAACTTTAAATGCTTTTCACATTTTTGTATCACTACCTATCAGCTACTCCGGCATATTTTTGCAGCGGAGCATCTGAGAAGAAGAAGTATTATTTTAAGTGAAAAGAATCACACGTGTTTCTGAATGTTTTTGATTTAATCTAGTTGATAAATATGTATTTTCCTGTTTTAAATAAAACATAAATATTAAATTTTATAATTCACCATTGTACGGCTTTATGGAAAATGCATGAATTTATAATACATATCTCCAATCCCCAAAAAAAAAACAATTTACGCCATCACTTAAGTGATTTCCTTAAAAAACAATAATTGGCGAAATAATTGTAGGATGAGAAATAAAGAAAAGAAACTTTCTCTTCGAGATTATCCAGCGATTGTTTGTTTAGGCGATACCACGTGAGGAATGCGTCACCCTATGTTTCGTTTCATGTTTCGTCGCATGGAAACCACTCGATATTTCTCGTAAATAAATAGATGAATATTCGAGAGGGACCGAGAGGTTTCTAGAACGATAAGAGAGTATAAAAGAGAAGCGTTTCAGTTCGGACCGGGTTCAGTGTAAGTCCAGCTACGGTATAGTCAAGTGTTAGTGTTATATTTTTGTCGAGTTAATAAATTGTTACTTCTGATTACAATCACACTCCTCACTATTTTTTACCATATCCATATATAATTTAAATATCCTATATAATGATCACCCCGATAAACACCACCCATTGACTGCATGTACTTAAGAACTACATACATTTAACTTATCGATTACTTCTGCACCTTGCAATAAATAAAATTTAAGATTATATCGTTCCGATTTTAGCATTTTTTTCTTTTTCATGTAATTGTTTCAACAAAGGTATATTTGTTTTAATGTTCCTGCGCGGTGATGACTTTGAGGGGGTGGGGTAAAATTTTCATCTAAAAGAATATCAGATAGAAATTAATATTCAAAGTACATTAATAGGTATGTAAAAAGATATGTTTAAAGCAATATATATGCGTTAAAGCAATCTTAAATATAAGTAAAATGCGTTAAGGTAAATAAAATAATTGCTAATTAATCGAAGGTAATGTATATTGTTGTTTAAAAACATGTAGTATAAGATCTAACAATAAGTACCGTTCTGCTCAAAATTCACCTTCAGACTGGCCCGTTGTCCTCCGTGGAAGTTCTTTTATTCAATGTTGTTTATATGACTTTCCGAAAACAGAAATCCTATTCATTACGAATATTATTCCCGTTATACACATGCGGAACGTTCGGAAAGTCATATAAACAACATTTAATACAAGAAATTTCATAGAAGACAACGTGCCAGTCTGAAGGTGAATTTCGAAGAGTACGGTATATAGATCATATTCTCCGAACTTTTAGACAGCGATAGACATTTCCTTCGTTTAACCTTTTAGATACGGCTGAATTCTGCGCGTGGCTATTTCCCTGGACGGCAGGGTCTGTCGTGAACAACGTATAATTGATATAACACTGCAAAATGTGGCGGGCAATTCCGTTCTRTGCACGAGAACATTCAAATGAAGTATTTGATGATTAAGTCATAATTTTTTAAAAATATATATTACACATACTTTAACTATAACATTCCACTTTAATAACTAATAATATAATTGAGTATGATAGATTTTGAAACATGGTACAATACATAAACCTACGTCATAATTTTCACATTAATAACGAGATCTTCGCCTTGTATCGTTTTTGGAACACACTATACAATTTCGTAACGTTTTTCTAGAAAACCACGAAAAGCCACTATAGTGGCGCGTCGTTCAGAGAGATGACATACACGAAAGCCACATTAGTGGCGCTTCGTCCTGAAAAATGATATCCGCGAAAGCCACTATAGTGGCGCGTAGTATCTAAAAGGTTAATTAACAATTTTTTAAATACTTTAATGCACTCTACTTATATTACAGGAAAATTTTACCCTCTGTATTTTTTGGTATCCTTTCGTGGTAGATATGAGATTTAATAATTGTGGGTACAGATACAGAATAATTCTGTTGCTGACAGGTAACTCTGGCCTTGGAAAATTTTGTTAAGTGACACTTTCATAATATGGTAGGATGCTATACAAATATCCTATTTCAGAATTTGCTAAAATGTATATTCGATTCTGAATTCCCTACTTGAAAGGTTTATTGGGATTGTATACAATAAAATTTATATTCCTTTAAATTTTACAAAAGATTCGTCAATGAAAATGTTTTGTTCGAGTATGAAATTGTCCGGAAAATCTTGAAATTATATAATCTAAAAAATTACTTGCTCGTTGAATACGAATTCTAATATTATTTCTTGCAGGATCAGGTGTTTTAAAATGCAGCATTTAAAATATCTGATTGAATTTTTTTCTTGTAAATATGTTACTAAAAAAAGGGGATCCTACTATTCTTGCATATATTGTATTCTTGCATTTTTGCCAGAGATATCATACTTATATTGATGATAAATCCGATGAAAGCTCAAAATTCATTCTTTTCCAAATTACGCCACATTTGCCAAATAGAGTTACTAAATATTTATTTCAATTTAAAAATATTGTCTGCGTAATTGTTGGTTTCTTTTATTATTTCATTTGCCAATACTTCCATAAAGTACAGTTTGAAATATTCTATCGGTTGTTTAAAATTTAAAGGAACTTGTGGTCCTCTAAAGAATCTTCGCTATCAATAATTCTCATTTTTCATTTCTTCCGTGATATAATTTCACTACCATTACTTAATGTATCAGAACTATAATTATCATAATCATTGTATATTAAAATACTTTGATCATATTTCGACACTTCAAAATCGAATATGTTTTTACTATCAGTCAATTCAAAATTCACAACGTAACATTGATTTTTCTTCATATTTTTAATCGTAAAAAGGGTCATAAAATAATTTAACTACAATGTTACAAATTTAGCACGGTTTAACTATAAATAACAATTGTTAATGTCCAACAATAACGTAACATTTTAAGTATAATTATGCTAAAAACATTTGTATCAGCAGCCGAAGTTATTGAACAAATTGATATCTCCATAGTGGAACACCCTCCCCCCAACATAGTATTAAATTATTAAATAATTTACCTTATTGCTTCATTATCGACGATTGGTAAGTTGATTCTTTTTTCATTAAGATTTTCTTCCTTATCAACGATCGCTAAGTTAATTCTTTTTTTATTAACATTTTCTTCCTTATCGGGGTATAATAAGAATGATCTTTTTCGTTTATCAGGCAACGCGAACATATTTCCTAAAATAAATATATATGTTCGATTAAAGTATCATTTTTTCCACCTTTCCATTGAATAATTAATTTAATATAAATTAAAATTAAAATTGTGCTTTTCTAAATTTATAATAAGTTTTCTATATGTTTACACCATAGGCATTCGCGTTATAACGTAAAAACACATTTTATCTACACTACTTTTACCCTTGTTAGATAAATTGACAAAATCTGTTAAATTTTTATCAAATATTCGGGTTTTTTTTTTATATTCGAATTTCTTAAATAATATCACGTAAAATCTAATCTGTATTTTACAAAATAATAAATACTCGAAGTTCATAAAATTCTTTTAATTGATATGATAACAAAAATAATAAATCATAATATATGTATTTAACTGTATCATATCTTTTATTGTTTATAAATAATAATAAATTAAACAAAAAAATACTCATAACCTAATTTTAACGTCAATGAAGTTAATTATATCTAATGAAACTAACCTAAAATTATATTTAACAATTAATAAATGGGGTTAAGGAGTCAGAAAATCTGACGTGAGCCAAAACTTTTGATTCACTTTTTAACCTTCGTTTTACGCATTTATAGTCGAGGTTGGAAAGCATTGTAAGATAAAAATCTACCGTCTATCGTCCTATACGAACGTAACATTCTCACAGCAATAAACATATTAAGCTCTTGTTTGTTAGAAAATCTATTGACCATGGAAGAGATCGAAATATTAGGAGAGTAGGGACATTAGTTTTTCATCTTATGTTCACATTCATATCGAGTAGCGAATCTCAAGAGAACCGGGACACCCTGCTGCGCATTTGTGAGCGCCGACCATTCAATACTATGCTACTGTATGTACTAAAGACACTCCAGGATCTCATTGTGCAGTACAAAACACAAACGAGCGGTAAAATGTCCGATTCTAACGAAAATCCACTTCGATGTATCGAAAAAATTATACAAGCAATAATATATCAAAGCTTTTCTTTATCGATTTAATTTGTACTTAACAAACTAGATGATACTCCGAAACCGTAATAAAACCATCATTCTTTTAATTTGGTTCTAATAAAAAAAGCAATAATCTAAATACATATCATATAATCTCTATTATATATTAATAAATAAAATAATTGATAAAAATCCACTATTTAGTATTGTGCTACTGTATGTATTAATGACGTTTCAGGACCTCGTTGTATAATCTAATATAAAATATTAATTTTTTTATTAAACTGCGAGAACACAATGTGCCAAATCTTTTTTTTTTTTTCTTACCGATCCTCCATCGTTGTATAATATTTTAATGAATAAGGAAATTTCAGCATGTTTATCATTTATAGACGGCCATAAAATTCAAACGGTTTTTATGAATGCACATGAGCTATTAAAATTAATTAGTATAATTTAAATGTTCATCAATCAATAACCAAGTGAATAAAATGACAGAATTGGAACGAATATATTTAAATTATTTAGAGATTTAAAAACGTAAGAGTTTACGCTCGTGTAAGCAATCTCGACGAAAAGAGATGAGAAGGTTATACAAAAAGAAAAGAAAAGAAAAAAAAAAAAAGAAAATAATAATAAATAATAAAAAGAAAAAAAAAAAAAAGAGAAAAAACGAAAGAAAGATAGCGCCTCCGAGCGTGAGAGGTCACAGTTCATCCCCATGTAAATTATCTCTATACAAATGGCGCGAGTCACTTGAGTCTGCAGATGCAATATAAATTTTCTCCGGACGGCGAGTCCGCATTGATGACCATTACCGGAAGTGCGGACTACGCTGAACAATAAATGCTAACGAACTGGTATGGAAGTTTCTGACACGCGTCAAAACATTATGGAATTTGCCGCTTTCCTTTCGTCCTGAACGATGCTTTTCAGACTTTCTTTCTTTTTTTTCTTTCTCTCTTTACCTATTAACAAAAAATTCGTTTAGATCAAATGTCCTACTACTAATCTAGGCTAAGCTGACTTCTGTTAGCCGTTTCATATGAAAGATTTTTTGTTTTCTATATTTAACAAATTAGTTTAGTTCAACTGTCTGATCTATTCTTGAAATTACGTCCTTCTCCTATTGGTCATGTATGATAAAGAATTGTTTCCAGGATTTTTGTTTTTTCTATTTGTAAAAAATTAGTTTGATCCAATTGTTTAATCTAACCTAGAAATTAATAAACTCGCATTGATCGTGTATAATAAAGAATTATTTTCAGGATTTTTGTTTTCTATTTGTAAAAAAATAGTTTAGTTCAAATGTCTGATGTAACCTAGAAATTACGTCCTCCTCCTATTGGTTACGTATAATGAAGAATTGTTTTCAGAATTTTTGTTTTCCATTTGTAAAAAATTAGTTTAGTTCAAATGTCTGATGTAATCTAGAAATTACGTCAGCTTCGTATTAATCATTTATAATAAAGAATAATTTTCAGGGTTTTTGTTTTCTATTCGGAAAAAATTTGTTTACTTCAAACACTTTGTTGATTTAAATTAGAAATAATATCCAATTTGAAAAATGCTACTGATAATGACATTAATTTAATAAAAATGTTAAGTCTTATAACTTATTTGTGTTTTTATTTAATTCTTCTAAAAATGAACAAAAACGAGAAAGAATATAGAAAAAAAACACCAATTCGTTCAGTGTTCATTGTTAAGTTGTATTTATAGGTTCAAATTTGTTGATTTTTAGGATACATATATTTTTTTATAATCATGAATAATTCAGGCTATAAAAAGATTAAATTTAAATTCACTCATAAAAAGAGATAAGAATTAAATCATCGTATGATTATAAAATACCTTTCAATCCAAAAATATCATTTCAGTTTTTCCAAATTTTTAATTCATTGTACATTGTTCATTTATTTTTTATTAGAGAACTAAATTTAATTGTACTGATCGAAAGAAAAGGCTTTGATCATCATATTATTTAATTACAATTGTTTGTTTATTAAAGTATAATATATAAAGATTTTTTAATTACGTATCGATTTATTCCATAATAATAAATTCATCTTAATATTAATAAATTTTTTAATGATATCCAATACCAGGGATTGAGGAAATTGTTAAAATTTTCAATTGGTTCCGATATTATAGATATTTTTTCACTTTTAACTTTTCTGTTCTAAGAAAACAGTTATAAATCTACTGAAACTTTTATTCTATATATTTATGCATAAATAAAAGATTTTTACGTTTTCGGAAACGGAAAAAGGTTCTTCTTTGACAGTAACAGTTATTCTATTTTGAAGAAGTAAAAGTATTCTCAAACAAATTTATCGTTTAATATTACATAGGTAAGAGAGTACGTAAAAGTACAATAAAATAATTGCATGAAATTACAACTTGTTTACTCATTTATATTTAACCCATTTTCATTTTCTTTTAATAATGTTAAGTAAGTCCAAGATAATTCAAATTTTTATATTTTACTTTAAAAGTATCTGTTAAGAAATAAATATTTCTTCAAAACTTTTATTAACCAAATATAAAAGTAACTGTTAAAATGAACTTGCATAACAAAATTAAAATGTTAATACCTATACAAAGTTAAACATAAAACAGAAAAGATATAATTTAAAAGTTTAAAATTAGACAAAATAATTTTAATCTAAAAAAATTAACAGTTTCATTCATGTCTTGTTTAGAACATATTTTATAAACAACTGTTTCGATACTTTTTTCTTCTTACAATTAATATATATATAAATATAAAATAAAAATAGATAATATAATAAATATAATAGATATAAAAAATATATATTATATAATAAATATAATAGATATAAAATTTGTCTTCTCTCTCTGATATGATACCAGCAAAACTTCTTCCGATCTAAGAATACTACTCAAGTATTTAGTACTACTGTTCCAGTTCTCTTGGACCCTTAACAAAAGGGGATTATTCATGAAAAAATAATACATCTTCTAGGGCACGCTCTTGCTAAGTTCCGTATTAAAGATACTCCAAGGCTTTGCGTTCTCTTACAAAAGACCAGGGGATAGTGTTACATTGTACAACGACGACGAGTATATTCGAAAAACACCCCTTAGAATGGTCTCTCGAGTTCTCAAATAGCCCGTATATACGAACGGCGTAATTCTGTTCGTCGTTATGCATCGCGTTCACTGTCGCGATGCGTCCTCCAAAATATCGGTTAGGCCAATGTAAAGAAACCGCTTAAAGAATTTGCATTGGAGGAACTTCATTGGTCGCTTGAGTGGATACTCATAATAACGTTTTTGCTTCTTCTACACTTCAAGAAATAATAAAAATAACATTTTAGAATTTCTTCGTGTAAAAACCTGGAATACTTTTGGTATTACCTGAACATTTCTATTTTTTTCTCTTTTCTTTTTTTTTCCATTTTTTGGTGTGAATAAAAATAAAATTACAATAAAATTGAATTCCTTTTTCAGGATCGCACCTGTTGAGAATAAAAGTTCAAAAAGAAACTGGACACTTCACATCCTTTCGAGAGATCAAGAAGACTAACGAGTAACATACAAAGCATATATAGGTACTTTTACCTTCCGGTCGAACGAAGGACTATAATTGTCGCGACAAACATGAAATTCGATATCACATTGAAGAGTTCTTTGACGTCTACGACAAATTCGTTTTATAAATGTTCCGAAAGTAGTGTAGAATGTACAGGGTAGTAATAAAAAGGGTTTGATATTTGAAAATCTTATAATGCTTATCAAGAATAATAAAAAATGTTTTATCAATATCGGTCTTAAAAATTAACTTTTTCCATGAAAATAATCATTTATTAATAAAAATGATACAAATTGAATGTGATGAAATATTTGAATGTGTACGTACGTCCGTAAATGCATTCAAATGGAAAAAAATCCAATAGAATATCTATGATTTGTACGTAAGATGTTTGCGTCGTTATTTTTATTAAAATTTTAATTATTTTTTTTTTTTATTATTTTCATTAAAAATGTCATTTTGATAATAAATTTATCTTGACAAACTTAAAA